GCACCCCAGATGCATCTGATCATACATACTTATATAACTGATGTTTTACTTTATTCATGCACTGATCAATAAAAAATAAATCCACACAAAACATTTTTTTATTAAGTTTCTAGTGATGACGTCTAAGCCATAGGATTAACCAAAAGCATCTTCCTCGGATTTCGACGTGAAAAATCGTCAATGATCTTTTCGTAGTCAAGTTTAATGTTTTTATGAACATACAAAAGCAAGAGGGCATTTAAACGTTCTTCTCCCATTGTATTGCGCGAGAAGGTTTTAATATATTTTAATGAAGAGTTTGCCCTTTCTGTGTAACTTGATGTTACGCTGGTCAATGAAAGTAGGCTCAGAAGTTTTACGATGTTTGGAAAGATCGTACTACACACTCTTGGGTCTGTTACGGTAGACGTTAATGTAGACGGTTTGTCGGTCTGGTCACGCCATGACTCGTTCCAGAGTCGAAACTCCTGTCTAAAAGAGTCAGGATATGGCATGTCAACTTCATAATAACCAATAATGTCGTCGATAGCGTCATCTGATGTTTGGTGAATGTTGCTTGGAATCAAAGCCAGTGCCCTTACAATGGAAACAGCATGTTCACCAAACCGAATATTGAACTTCTGAATCATGGAGTCTAAGAATGGTAGAAACACTGCACGTCGAAAATACACTTGATCATTGTCGGCAGGGACATTACTTCGCTGGGTCTGGCACCCACACCGTCTTGGAGCCTTGATACCACCAATGTCGGCAACTTCAGCCATTATCGTAGATTGTTTAAACACGATGTCAAATTCCTTTTCGTCGTCTCGTGTTGATTTGACCAAAGATTTGACGGTATCAATCATTGTATACCCTTCTACAATATCGAGCGTAGACCCTTGGAGTTTTCTACTCAATCCACTTACATATCCAAAAAAGTTGTGGACGGTTTGAAAACTAACTATAAAAGTAGAATCAGTTATTTTTTGTGAGTAGCCCTTTAGCGTCAATAACAGCTTTCTTATCCCAGGAGCGTCCAACGTTAGAGCTGATTTCCTCTAAACAAGATATGATTGGCTCGAACATGGTAGAAAAGCTGCTGAGGGTCGTAATTTTTTCACTCCATCTTGTTTCACAGAAGACCTTAAATTTCTGTTTTGTTATTTTGTTTTGCGCATCCCTGTTCGAATTTATCTCATCTACGGCCTATTCGAGACATCGACTCCGTTTCGGAGAATACTTGAAAAATATCCCGAGCTGTTTTAAGCTATCTAACATCAATTGTATTTCTGGAACATTGCAACATTTGCATAGTACTAGATTCAGGTTATGGCTAGCGCAGTAATGATAAACTGTCCTTGGTGACAGTCGGGTAAACTGCTCCGCGCAACCAAGATTCTTACCAGACATATTGCCGGCGCCATCCATAGTCTGTGCGCGACAAAACTGGATATCCAATCCAGCATCCGTCAAAGCTTTGACTATCAAACCACAAAGTGCCGAGCCTGTTGTCTCTTCTGCTTGGACAAATTCAAGCAACTTTTCTACTGGACTACCGTCCCTAAGATATCGTATAACAATCCCGAGTTGTTCCCAGTTACTAGCATCCGACACCTCATCGCATTGATATCCGAAATGTGGACCAAGCGGTTGAGCCTTTACTTCATCAACGATTGTCTGTTGGATAAACCTCTTGATGCATGATAACAATTCATTTTGAGAAGTTTTTGACATATATGATGCATTTTTAGCACATTGTTTCAAATGGTCATCCAAGACGGAGTCTCCTGCCTCTGCGCGAAATTTAACTAGTTCCTTATAGTTGCCTAGATTATAATTTTGTGTTTTATCTTCAGTTTGATCGTCATCCCGGTGGCCTCGAAGAGCCAATCCGCGCCTCCCACAAAACTCGAGACATTTGATGAGTGATTTCAAAATCTGTCGATTTTTCTCAATTAATGTGTCACTCCTTGCATTTATCAATATCAATTCTGGACTCTGGACTCATATACGTTTCTCGGAACCCAGATAGTCTAATTATAGAGTTTAAATGTGTTTCGGATGATGCATGTCGCTTTAAATCAGTTATAGCGTCTTCCCAGTTTTGGTATGGCTCGGAAACTAGCTTTCGCGGTCGGCGACCAGAGGTGTCTGGAAAGAACTTACATGCCAGGCAATATATACCATCTTTATCCTTTGAGTAGGAAATAAATTCAAACTTCGTAAACCATTCTCGACAACAAGATCTTTTGAAACTACCTGATTTGCAACGACTATCCTTGTATAATTTTGATGGAAATTTGAAGGTAGGTTCTGGCATCCTATTACATATAAGCATGTGTTTTTGATCATCTGTTAATAGAATTGGGTCTGAATTTCCAACATCTATAGCATCAAAGTTTTGCTGTACGTTCAAGTCCGTTCGACCTCCATCTACCGATATATCAGAATCTGGCAATGGATTATCATCTGCGACATGTTCAATATCCGTGGGTTCGAAACATTGAGGACTTGGATAATTTTGATTGATTTCGTTCGTATCGTCGGTGGGTTGAGGGCTTGTCAAGGGTGCCAATACACAAGCCTTCCTGATAACTATTGGAGTCAATTCATATTGCATGTCGGTATTTGATAAAGAATGACACATGTCTTTAATATATTTCACCAATTGTTCAAAAGAGTTAAATTGTAACACTACAGCTTTACCCAACGGTGAAGATAGCCCCTTATCATCTCTACTATGAGAATCCATAACATAGTAGTGCTCATCATTCTTTTTAATCCCGATCGTATATCCCGGATTATTTCCAGTGGTCAGGAAATATGTAGGTGCCATATCAAAGCATTGCTCTACAGCAGAATCAAGTTTGAATGTCAATGAATCTAAATTATCAAATTCTTGCAATACCATACCACTAACTGAATTTCTGACTATAAGATCGAAAATTTCATTTTCAATGCTGACCCTGTCTGGAAAGTCTGTTATGAGAAAGTATACATTATCATTGCGAGCAAGACTTTGGTATGTAGTAGTTCCTTTATGGAGTGTATTATCGACTTCCTGTACTGACTTTGGGATATCATTTAGAGTTAAGAATACTAAAGCTATACACGTGCATTGACGTCCACCGGATTCTATTTCACCTTGATATAGAGAGCCTTTACACACCAGCCTAAATTAAAAAAAAAACATACAACTAATCTGTTCTATTCAGTATTATATTTTATTGCATATCTGATCTTTAATAAGTTCTTTCATTTTATTGGTCAAATGTCGATCAACTGATATTTTTGCGACAGACGTTTGTTGTATGGTTAGTTAGCATGACCTCACAGATTTCTTGACGTTGTTGTAAACAAGATATATGGCTATTCAATGAAATTTACAATACGACCGAATATAGACATATCCAAATGTATGATTGAAATGTTTTACCCACCAAGTGAAGCGAGTGGTTTCAAATCAACCAAAGGCTGCGATTAAAGGTCTGAAATGACAAATTCAATGAAGTTGTGAATGACGGACGAGAAATGGAGATCTAAAGGCCGCACCCAGTCGTTCCTTGAAAAAAAATACTCTGTATACCACTTTGGCGAAATTCCTCTCTTTAGTCTAAACTCCTTCTTAAAACATTAAGAAACACAAGAACAGTACTAGTAATTCAAATACCAACAAAAGTTTAGGCAAGGACCGAGGGTGGCCTGGGATTTACATGCGAACAACAAAAAAAATTACGCCCGTTTTTATACATTTAATACTAAATAATTCTGTTGGAAATTTTATTTTTCTAATAGCAAAAAAGCGGGCAAGATTATTGTTTTCACCCCAGGTACTGCTAGAATTATTTTATAGGGAAAAATAAGGGCCAGACTTTTTTCTCTAAAATTTCTCAGACCCCCGAAAATCAAATTTTCCGTACTTTAGACTTTTAATCTATCTAGAGATTACTGACTGGGGGTCATTATTCAGCAATGTTATTAATTATGGGCTGGGGCGTGTGTGGTTAAACATGTTTTCGTATGTAAATTAATATTATAGCTGTGGAACTTTTTTTTTCATGTGAGATAATAGAGTATTACCTTCTGTTGGGTGGAATAGAGAAATATGCGTCAATGCGCCCTTGCTCCAACCTTTGTCTTTTTGAAGGCGTCATGCTTGTCATCCTCAATTTCTATTTTTAAATGACTGAGTGATGTTTCTTCGACGTACTAGTCAAATCCACCGGAAGCGAATCACGTGACATTAACATAATCAATAACATATTTCACGTAAAATACGTAACGAACTGTCGCATAATATACGGGAAATGGCAAAGTTAACGAAATCTAGTCTGATTAATCATTTTACAGTCTAAATTAAAGAAGATGAAAAAAAAAAGCCAAGTAAAGGGGGGGGGAGGGTGCCTACGCCCTCTACGGCCCCCTCTAGATCCGCCACTGCTTGGAGTTCAGTATTTCAGTTTTTTTTTTTACTTTTGATAGCATATCTATTCTGTCTCTGTTGAGTTTATTCATAGTGTTTCTAGAATTTGTGTGATTAAAAGCTTGACATATTCAGATACGATATTTGTCAATTTTTGAAAACCGTTTGCGGACTTCTAGATATTTTTTTGTTTTTTTTTCAGTCGTTTGGTTATTGTTTAATTGAGCCATTCCAACATATCTTTTATGCATTAAGTTTTGTTAACTACGATATTCGTTGAGTCCAAGTTTCAAATACCATTGTAAAGTCACCTAAACATTAAAATCAACGGAATGACACGGCACAGGAAAACGTTGGATAAAGAAACTCATTAATGATACCAGGCCCATCATTTGGTACGCCAAATGCGCGTTTCGTCTACAAAAGACTCATCAGTGACGCTCGAATAAAAGTTAAATGGCCAAATAAAGGACGAAATCGAAGGAGTATGTTTCATACACATATACATGACCCTTCCAATTTGAAGGACAATTATTAGAAGTGTTGACTCTTCTTATTGGATCCATTTGATTACAATAGCTATTCAAAGACTGGAAATTTCTTACTTTTATTTGATATAATTACATGGACATTTCAAATTAAATAAATAAGGTCTACTGAAATAAAAAAAAAGATATGTATATAATATATAGACAGACAAAATGATGAAAACAACAAACAAAAAAAAAACAAAAAAAAACCCTATTATAAAAGAAAACAAGAGACTATGAAAGTCTGAGGTATTCAATTACAAAGAAAGATACAAATTACTAAAAAATAAGTGTAATAGTAAGACTAGGTGAAAATAAGCAGGGGTAATGCAGAAAAAAAAGGGTTTTTTTAAACGTTCAAGAAAGACAATTTCATTATTTTTGTAGAATATGAGGCATGTCGTCACATGTCTGTGATCTATTGCTATTTATCATATTTTTTAATTATCTTCTTATGGCAGCTTCCATGGACTCCCGCCAACAACATATGTTTCATGGATCAAATGTATTCCCATTACTGCCATATATCCCTGCAAGTCACTACATAATAAATTTATCGGAATCCAGCCGACTTTTTTGTGGACATGGCAGTTAAATGAATAAATTTCAAGTTTTTGTTAAAGTTCAATATGTTCAATTAATTGTTAACAAAAGTATCCCGAAATGTATGTGACATCGCTCATTTACTGTGCTTTGACCTAAAATTATTTACAAAAGGTTGATGACAAAAGTCCGACTCCAAATTTGTTCAAGAAAAGTTTGCGAACAAAATTGAAAACAACACGTTTGATAATTTCATGCGTCCGAACTCACGGTTTTGCTTTATGAGAACACATCCCTTGGCTAATTACCGGCTAGTGCCAGCTCGTGATGGTTTATTTTTCTCACGAAATTGCTACACGGAAATAAAAAAACGTTAAGGGGGTATATCTTAAAAACTTCCTATTTCCTAATAAATAAGTTTTAAAACGAAAATATAGTATTGCTAATAATTAATACAATTTCATAAGTATCATATAGTTAGTTAGTAATGATTTCCAGTTTTACAGCAAGCGATGGCACATCGCCTGTGCGAACGATTTGAATGTATACATCAATATGTAAATAAAGAAAACGTAAAAGAAAAATATTGAAAACTATATCTATCATACCCTCATAAAAGAAGCGTTATTATGGTCACAGTTATATCATTTGTTCAATTTCTTTTTACATCATTAAAGAAGTTATATGCTTGACGTTTTGGGCATTACTAGGAGTTTCTAAATGAATCTCGATTCTTACACTTTACGCCGGATAATCCTATTTTAGACAAGTATATAACTAAAATTGAGAATGGAAATGGGGAATATGTCAAAGAGACAACGACCCGACCATAGAGCAGATAACAGCCGAAGGCCATCAACGGGTCTTCAACGCAGCGAGAAAATCCCGCACCTGGATTTGGAGAGAATGCATGGTTCTTATTGTACAAGTAAAAAGGGGAAATGACTAACGAAACAATGAGAAAAATTTTATCACAGAAAATCTTTGGCCGCTGTGTTGACCCAGGATAACCCAGCATATATATAGCTTTGGCTCATCGAGACGATTTGGTATTATGAAACATCTGTTGAAGTACTCTCGTGGTAGTATCAAAGTTATTTACTAGATGTATTTCACTGATACTAATTGATGGCCATACTTCAAGAAACTTTGTTATTGATTCCTTCAAAGTCCAGCAACACTTTTTCATTATTTCATCGCTTGGTTTTGCACCTAAGAAATAACAGAAAAATAATTTCAAGTTAATTTCCTTGTTTAATAAGTGCATTTTATGCTTAAAATTTTAAAAGTTATAGGAGAAAGATTAGTAAAAGTAACTTTGCTTGTTTCTGAATCCTAGTTATTGATTTCAAGTGTATTATATTATTATGCGATGATTTATCTGAATAAATATTGTTTAAACTAAAATTCTATTTTATACTTGTGTATTTACCAAACTGAAATTTCATGTATCTGGTGTCAATTACAGACAAATTGTGATATTTATACTATATTTAAATTATTCTATTCTCAATTTTTTTTAACTTTTGAGCGAAAAGCAACATCTGCATTTGTAACATACCTAGTCCTATCATTGGTATGGCTAGGGTAACTTCTTTCTTTGACTTCTTGTCTAAAGTATTTACTGTCGACAGAACATTTTCAATGGTTGACCATAAAACGGTTTGATACATTTCCTCAGTATCGCCCTTTTCTCTCCTCAAAATTGCATGCAAGACATGTTTGAATGGCAGCTTGTGACCACCAGATGTCATTAAAACCATTGTTCGAGATAAACCAGTCGATTGTGGTTGTAGTTGTCGGTGTTCTTGTCTGTATTGGTCACAGCCAGCAGCAAGCAATGTTCTAGATAAACCACCCTCTCCTTTGACTAAACTGTCTTCACTTACAACAATGACATCTATGCCTCTTATTTTCAAGATATCTTTTGTATAAATATGTATATCAGTTTTACCACGATAATTCCGTAAAATGTTGACACCGTCAGACCCTGAAAGTACTGCATCAAAATCAAGACATCTTGGGTTCTTCTTCAATTTAGAATGCCAATCGTTTATCATGTCCAGAATATCGTCGTGTATATCTATAATGTGGAATTCTTTCATCGAGCCCAACTTTCCTTGTTTACTAAAATCACAAATACCTCTCAAGTACATAGCAGCACACATCGACTTAGGAACACCACACACCCCTAGAAATACAATTGATTTAGGATTTAGCAAAACATGATATATCTGTGTAATTTAGAAAAGTTATGAAAACTTTTATTAATTCATCTTTGATGGGTTAATCAGGTGTTATGATGTTACCATCACTCATTACAAAGTCATGTTGCTTAATATCTGTATCCCTTCCTACTTTTCTCGATCACGATATCACTGAATACGATGTATCATCATATTTTTACATGTCACAACGGGTGAAACTAATAAAATAAATGTGGATAGTGTCCACATGTGGACACAGATGATGCCCCCGCTTGCATATCATATAGTTATAAAGGGACATAACTGAAGAACAGTAAAAGTGACGCTACCCAAATTTGAACTTGATCTGAGTTTTGTGGTAATAAGCATTGTGTGTAAGTCTCATAACATTTGGTTGATGCTAACTTAAGTAGAGAACAGAAATTAAAAATTCAGCAATTTTTTCTATTTGTAAACACGCATAACTCTAGAACGGTTGTGTATAAGTTTTATAACATTTGGTTGAGACAAACTAAAGTTAGAGAACGAAAACGAAAAATTCTGAAATTTTTATGTTTATAAAGGTACATAACTCAAGAATGGTAAAAGTGTCGCCACAAAATTTCTTACTTAATCTGTATTCAAACTTGATTTGTGTTTTGTGGTAATAAGCATTGTGTATAAGTTTCATAATATTTGGTTGAGGCAAACTTAAGTTAGAGAACGGAAACTAAAAATTTTGCAATTTTTCCATTTATAAAGGGGCACTCTAGAACGGTTCAAGTGACGCCACCAAAATTCAAACTTGATCTGTGTTTTGTGGTTATAAGCATTGATATATAAGTTTCATAACATTTGGTTAAGGCAAACTCAAGTTAGAGAACGGAGAACGGAAACCAACTTTGGAACGTACGTACAGACGGTCAAGGGTAAAACTTAATGCCCCCACCGCTACGGCGGGGGCATAAAAAGAAAGCATCTAACCTACCGGAACACCAGAGATAATAAACTTTAGCGGTGTTTTGATCAACTTTAGGCTTTCAACCCACATGTTTCGTTCGTCTTTCATGATATAAATCAATTTTTCTCAAGGATGTGCTTTTAGTTTTTGAAACGCTTACGTTGGTATTTTTGTAAAGTAAAAATGAAGAATAACACTCAATTGAATTGTTTCATATTTTTTATGTACGGAGCCTTTTATTGCCGACCATACGGTATGGGTTTTTCTCATTGTGGAAGGCTGTACGGTTGCCTATAATTGCTTACATCCACTTCATTTGAACTTTGGTGGATAGTTGTCTTATTGGCAATCATACCACATCTCCTTATTTTTATATAGTAGGCAATATTTGAGTTCGAAGAAAACATTTACTAATAATTAAGTTAAACAGAATAATGGAACTAAAGTAGAAAAAGCAAGCACATATTTATGGCGATCGTCCATTTCTATACTGAGGCTTTGTCTAAAATAAAATATATTTATTATATTCGTCGATAAAGTGCAACTAAATAACTTTTTTGTCTGTCGACTTTCTCTTAGTCTGCCAATCTGTCCACAGACCTTGTAATCACAATATTAGTAAACATATAATAAATGGTGTGATGGTTGAAGAATTATTTAATAACAATAGTTTTCCCGATTTACCTGAACTTATCGGCGGCATTGCTACACACTTAAAACTAGTGTTTCGTGCTGTATCTAGGATATTGCTGATAGTAACCTTCAGTATATTCAGACATTCTGCTTTATTTTTGTATTCGTGCCATCTTGGACCAACTGCATGTATAACAGCTTGGTATGGAAGGTTACCAGCTGAAGTCACTACGTTGTCACCATCAAAAATTTGACCTTCCTGGGTTATTATGTGATTGCATTCCTGTGCCATTTTATGACCCGCAGCTTTCGCTATTACATCAGCAACACCCCCAACGTTAGCTAAGCGATGGTTAGCAGCATTAACAATGGCGTCTACCTTGAGTCTAGCAATATGTTTCTTGTATAACTTAATAACCAGTCCCTCGTCAGTGTTGTATTGATATTTAATGTTAGCATCTTTGTTACCAGTCTGTGTTTCATCATATTTTGTTTTATGTTTTCGAGTCTGTAAATATGAAAAAGATAAAATAATGAAACCGATATGAATAATCACTTCAGAAATATTCTCAAAAGTTACCCACAACTGATTTGACAAGAGGAAATATACTGGATAATGCAAGTTGAAACTTATTGCTTTTAATGGGACATTTATCATGACTATAAGTACAGTCAAATAATAAATGATAATTTAAATTGTTTATAATGAAAATATAATATGAATAAGTTATAATTTCGTTCTAGAGTTAGTATGTGAAAAGGATTTCTATATAGACTATCATAGTTTTCATTATTTACTCTCTGAAGCAGTTACAGAACTGCATGATCCTAAATGTATCATAATTCCCCATTTCTGTCGTTTAAAAGTTCCAATTAGTTTTAAGACATTTAAGATAGTCTTTCTATGAGATAGTTAAAATTTCAAACATTGCTCACTAGAACCCATGGGCCATTTTAATTGTTTTATATTGGACTTACCTTATTCTTTTTGAATGTTGTAAACAAAGGATTTTTCAAAATGTCATCAGCAGAAGGTCTTGTACTTGGATCTTTACACAACATTTTTTCTAACAGACTACATAACTGTGTACTGTATTTATCTTTAGGCATTGGAGGAAGCTGGTGTTCAAAATAATGTAATGATGATGATAATAATGTGCACAAACGATATAAAATAAAATAAATTTTAGTTTGTTTTGATTATTTCATATTTTTGAAAATGTGTTGGTGATGTAACATGTGTATATATACCATTAGTATAAATTCTATAATGAAATGCATATATAAGTAACAATTAAGGTTGACATTATAAATTTAAAAGATGAAAGCTTCTTTTCACAAATAACATCATATGGATAACCTAATATTAAAACTTTTACCTTTCCGTGGACAATTTGAAAAACCAACTGCTGCATGAACATAGCATCAAAAGGTTTTTCTAATGTTGTCATTTCATATACAATGACTCCCATTGCCCAAATGTCACTCTGTAAAAGAAGAGTACCTTACTGCTTGAATAATTACAAAATATATAGAAAAGAGAATATATTCTCTTTAAAATTTGCACTGAAGTGAGAAAAAGAATCATTACTGAAAAAAACGTTATGATAAAATTTACGATATACGTAGCAAGTTGTCGTTCTTTCAAATTGTTGAAAAACTGGTCAATATATAACACTATAATAGTTTTTAGTCAACACTTCATCCAGTAGTTCACATCTCACCCCTCATGACTAAACAAAGAACACAATACATTTGATATAGTTTGTCTTATTTATTCAAAAATTGTAAATGTTTCGTCTGTTTATTTATCATTCTACATTAGAAATATATGATAGATACAGTAAAAATGGTATTTCAGGATCCACACTTTGTATAACTGATTGCACTATAATAATTGTTGTTATACTGTATCCAGTAGTATATTTCTCACCCCTCAATTAGGATTGTAAATCGTCAACTTTTAACGTTTACAATCAGGCTGATAGCAGGCTGATAGCCAGTTGAAATTAAACAAAAGAAATGAAACTCTTTATTAGAGAAGGTAGAAATGGCCAAGCTGGTATCTTTGAATTATTTACATCTGTTTTTATGGGCTTTAAAAGTTTCATGCTTAATTTACGATTTTTTTTTTGCATCTCACTGATATACGTGTTTATACTTAATTTATAGTATTGAGCTTCGAGATATTTTTTACTTTTAAATCAAAGACAATTTTTCACTAAACAGTCAATTGTGTTAGATGCAAATACATGTGGATCTTTTTTTGTGCATACGCATAAAATTTCGCCGAAAAAAATCCACAGAAATATAAAAGATTGATCTTTTTAAAGCTTTAATCATCATCTCCCCCCCCCCCCCCCCCCCCCCCCCAACAGTTTCTAGGGAAATAAATCCTAAAAATAGGCAATAATCTCATCGAAAAGAGAAAGTCGGGTACACCTTTTTATGTTTCGGCGTGTTTGAAGCAACAATATTTCATACACCATCTCGCTTCAGATTCTATTTTTATATATTTAAGCTACATTTTGATATAATAACATTTAAAGATTCACAGTACTACAAAATAAAATATATGGGTCAAGCGAAATACCTTTCTAATCAGTCATAATAACATAGTGTGTGTTTGAATTACAAATTTTTAATAACAAAATAACAAAAAGCACTAGACGACAGACATTACAAGTATGGCATGGTATTGGTTGCAAAAATTTGATATTTTTCATTTAAATGCAATATTTTTTATTCAAATGGTATATTTCTTCATTTAAATGCAATATTTTTTATTCAAATGGTATAATTTTTCATTCAAATGCAATATTTTTTATTCAATTGGTATAACTTGTCATTTTAATACAATATTTTTTATTCAATTGGTATAGTAGTTTTTTTATTTATATGCAATAATTCCATTATGGGAAATTCTTTGACGTCACAAGATCAAATTTGCAACAACGTTTTTGATTGCTCGGTAATTTTTTGGATTTCTTCCCTTTCTTTCTAAACATGAGTGACCAAGAATTAAAAAAACGCGTCGGAATATCACCCCTCTAACTAAATCTGGCGTTCGTGCGAGTTCGTGCACTGGCTGTTAATGCCAATAATGGCCAGGTCGAGCAAAAAATGCGAGTGACAAGTAATAATAATTAATTTGACACACAACCTGTTCATGGATAGAAACAGATACCTGCGTGCATGGCAAAAACGCCTCCAATGAAAACCCTTTCTGAAGAAACTCCCCTACAGTCTACACATTGAAATAAAAAAAAATACATAGCTAGTACCCACCCCCTTCCCCCTCTTAGTCCAGATACATGTAATCATGACGTTCTCTGATGCTATATCATTTTTTACTTTTCTTGATCCTCAGCGACATTGCAGGAAGGCAAACATAAAAAAGAATAAAAAGCCTTCCAGGACGTTATAATTATTTGGACTAAGTCCCCTCTTTATTGCTACATGTAGAAAAAAAATCACCTAATTACGACAGCAGAACCAGCTCACAGAGACCCACAAGAAGAGACCTGAGCTGTGATACTCCGGAACTAATTCTTTAATAAAGACAATTCGGGATAAATTGGAACCAGTTACTAACCCATGTTACAACAATAGTCCTATGCCATAGGACGTACACTGTATATGAAGGCATGAACTTCATATTGTGGACTATCTATAATATGTGCTCTCGTGTCTTATACCGCATATCATTTTACATTTAGGATTCGTTGCTGAGCTTTTTTTACTGTTCCCATCTCCGAATCCCTTAAATAGATTTTTTTTTCAAGCCCCCAGGTAGTTCAATAACTACTATATGTCTTTGCTTAAAAAAGTATGCAGGGCATATTTCAAAACATATTTTTTCTTCAGGACTTTCAATTGATTTACTTTTCAATACTGCATTGGGAAAGTAGGAGGGGGGGTACACAAGAAACTTTATTTTGTGACACAGTATATAATATAATTAGATAACAATCTCTAATGATTTGTATCCAACAAATTGTAGGATTGTACGTTTAGCTATTATCTAGACCAGTACAAAATGTATATAATAAGATACATTTAACAGGGGCGGATCCAAAACCTCGGTGTCTAGGGGGGAGGGGGTTCAGATTTAGATATTTGTATAGAGATGTATATATGCGAGTTTTGGCAGTAATGGTTATGGTGTGTGTGTGAGGGGAGGTGGAGGGGGTTCAGATCAAAGATCGTTTCTATAATTCTAAATCTTTTAGTTTTTACCATTTCACTCTTTTCTTTATCCTTTGATCTCTATTATATTTGTCCTAAACATGCGTGAAATATTTGCCACTGGACATAATGCAACCAAAAAACAATCAACGTATTCTTTATAATTCATCATTTCTTTATTATGTTATCTATAGGTTTGGTCCCGCCCCTTATCTATTTTTTGCACATTATTCTCTCTATGTAAACCCAATTCCTGTCCTGATAAATGGTGACTCATGCATAGCATCATATGTGGTTATTAAAACAAGAAACATATTCATATTATAATAATTTACTGTATGCTTGGACTTATAGATAGATGTCATTAGTCCCAGATCATGTAATAAAGTAGGTCTTATAAAAATACAATAGCATTGTAATGATGATTATATATATAAAATTGAGAATGGAAATGGGGAATGTGTCAAAGAGACAACAACCCGACCATAGAGCAGACAACAGCCGAAGGCCACCAATGGATCTTCAATGCAGCGAGAAACTCCCGCACACGGAGGCGTCCTTCAGCTGGCCCCTAAACAAATATGTATACTAGTTCAATGATAATGGACGTCATACCAAACTCTAAATTATACACAAGAAACTAAAATTAAAAATGATACAAGACTAACAAAGGCCAGGGGCTCCTGACTTGGGACAGGCGCAAAAATGCGGCGGGGTTAAACATGTTTTTGAGATCTCAACCCTCCCCCTATACCTCTAGCCAATGTAGAAAAAACAAACGTACAACAGTACGCACAGTAAAACTCAGTTTAAGAGAAGTCCGAGTCCGATGTCAGAATAGGAAACAAAAGAAAATAAACAAAATGACAATAATACATAAATAACAACAGACTACTAGCAGTTACTGACATGCCAGCTCCAGACCTCAATTTAACTGATTGAAAGATTATGTCTTCATCATATGAATATCAGGCACAATCCCTCCTGTTAGGGGTTTAGTATTAAACCATCATAAAATATATATTAGAAGAACATAACCCGTGTCATGCCAACAACTGGTTTTAGAATAAATATGTTTAATTCCGATGCAAAGACCCTATAAGTGAATTAATATTAAAGCCAAAATATGCAATCTTTAATGACCTGACAACAGTATCGTAACTATATCCCTTCTTAATAAGTCTGTTTAAATGTTTTGTTAGCTTTTGAGGTGAATACTGACGTTTTTGTGCTTTGTAAAGAATATTACCATAAAAGATTGAATGTGAAATACCCAAACGTATAAGATGTCTGCATGTTGAGTTATATTTACGAATGATGTCCTTATACCGATGATAAAATTTAGTAAATGTTTTGACTAGTTTATGATATCGGAAACCCTGGTGTAATAATTTTTCAGAAATACATAAATTTCTCTCGCTAAAATCTTATACGTTGTTACATACACGAGCGAATCGTACAGGTTGAGATATATAAACACCATAAGATGGTGACAAGGGAACGTCACCATCTAAAAATGGATAATTAACGATAGGAAATGAAAAATCATCTCTTTTATCATAATTTTTTGTATTAAGCTTCCCGTTAATGATATAGATATCAAGATCGAGGAGAGGACAGTGGTCATTGTTAGTATTAGCTTTATTTAAAGTAAGTTCAACAGGATAAATTTCTTTAGTATACATACTGAACTCGTCTTTATTGAGAGCCAATATATCATCCAAATATCTAAAAGTATTGTTAAATTTTTGAATCAGATGTTGTTTCGATGGGTCTTTGCTGATTTTAGTCATAAATTGTAACTCATAACAATACAAAAACAGGTCCGCAATAAGTGGTGCACAGTTAGTCCCCATTGGAATTCCGATAACTTTACGATATACGGAATCTCCAAAGCGAACAAAAATGTTATCAAGTAAAAATTCAAGGGCAGATATAGTATCAAAGCATGTCCAATTGACATAGCTCTTTTGTTTGTTGCTACTAAAAAATGACCTAAAAGAGATTGAACATATGTATTCGCATTCCGACTTTTTAAATGCCCATTTAATTAGGTGTGTGAATTTTTTCTTAATAAGAATATGAGGCAAAGTGGTATATAGGGTAGAAAAATCAAAACTTTGAACAGATTCAAAATCACCAATATATGCATGCAATTTATCAAGTACTTCCAACGAGTTTTTGACACTCCAAAAGTAGTTAATTCCACTATTTTCACAGGCCTTATTTGAATAATTTATTATCAGGTTTTTGATTGTACCAAGTGTACTAGTAAGTAGAATAGACAATTTAGTAGTGGAACAATGACTTGAAGACGAAATAAATCTATATTTGTAAGGTGATTTGTGTAGCTTCGGAAGCCAGTACATAGTTGGGACTTTCATTGTATTTGGTTCTGCTTGTAAAGAAGTAGCTAATAATTTATGTTTGTTACAGATATCGTTTTCTGAAAATGAAGTCAGTTGGAATGTTGGTGAATTCGTGATTTCCTTTTGCAGAACCTCAATGTAAAATTTACGTCAAACTATAATGATATTATTAGCAGCTTTATCAGCCGGGACAAAAACAAATTCATTGGCTAGTTCTTTTAGTTTATGTATGATACGAGAAATAGGATTTTTATGGTTGTTGTTAAGAGTAAAATGTCCTTTAAAATGTTGTATACGTATATCAACTATCTTCATTACTGAATTAAAAAAAGAGTCCAAAGATTTTTTGTCAGCTTTTTCTCGTTTTATCCATTTCAAACAGTAAGCACGAAGTGAGTCGTGGATGATATTACGACACTCATTCCAATTAATAATTGACGGGGGACGATATTAAGGTCCTTTACTGAGGAATGATTTTAACTCTCGGTCGCGAACGATGTTAAGGTCTCCTGTTATAACATGGGAAATGGGGCCATAAGTGTATTCGGAATTACTACAATTACATGACGGAGGTGTATTTTCACTGATATTTACATCTTTACAGACTTGGCTATAATTAAACACAAATTTTCGGGTAGATTTCTTGTAAATATAACAAATAAGAGGGAGTTCAGTATTATCAAAATATCCAGGAATTTGTTCTTTAACAGAATGGTCGTTAAAAATACCGGCAATATTTACAAAATCAAAACCTTTATTGACATACTTTATTTTGATAAAATGTTTTTTATGATCTTCAGGGCGATCAATTTTGGGAAACAGTCTAGAATAACAATATGCCATTATAATTTGAACGATTTCATACTTAGGACTGCAATATGAAATTGTGTTGCAATCCTCTAAAATTTTATTTAATTTATTTATAGGTATAGAACAGAGCTTGGTTAATAGATAATGTCTGCCGTTGTTTTTTGAAATAGAAATTAGGTCCGAAATATTTGTATGGTTGGTCCGAAATTTTCTTTGATTGCGATTTTTTCTACGCCCATGAGAACGGTTTTTACGAACAGTTTTAGAAACTATATCCAAAATGTTAACAGAATCGGTTCTTGATATATTACCAATTCCCATGATATTATCATTAAGACCGAGAGGGTAGACTGTCTGTAATTTTTTAATCCAATTTAATTCAATTATTTTCCGTGATCGTACAAACTTTGAATGAGATTCACCAGGCTGCTTATTTACTACTTCTAAAGGTTGAACTGTTTAATATTTAATAGGATGATTGTGCTTTTTAAGATGTTGATGAATGATACTTTTGAATTTATTGGGTCTTTTAAAACGATACAGGTGTTCTTGCGTGCGTTTAGATAAATATCGTCCAGTTTCACCTACGTACTGAATACTGTATATATATTTAACAATGCCAATTTTTGGGAAAAAAGGGTAGGGACAAGGCGTTTTTAAAACATATTAATGGGGCGCGTTTTTTTGTTCTTCGGTAGTGAGCCAGAAGAAGTCCATTTCTGTTTTTTTTTTTTGGCATTGGGAAGATCTTCTGGCTCTCTTCCGTCTATTCTTTTTTGATAGGTTGTTTAGACGGCAGAGGCACATAACAAACATATGGCGTCGTTTAGTCTAAATGACTAATAAATTTATGAATGCAGATATATTAGAATGTGAGCTGTGTTATAAACGTTTTTATGGTATGACAGCCTTAGTAGGACATCCCTGTAGGACGATAAGCTGGATAAATATAAGAACTACACCGTCGGACAATAACAGTTAAGGGACGATTATTTGATATTCTAGGGAAGGGATTTTGATTGATTGGTGTTTAACGCTACTTTGAACACTATTGGGCTATTCCGTGGTGGTCAGTTTAAATTTATAGATGAAGGATGGGGAAGGGAAGAGAGGGTATTATTATTCATTTTAATCTGTCGCTAATCATGCCTATTTTTCAGCTCTTACCAGGCAACCATATTCATATATGAAATCCTTCTGTCCCCACCCCAACAAATAGATAAATATCAAATGGTTTTCCACTTATTTAACACAATTTTAAATTGATTGATTGTTTGTTGCTAATTTTTAACACCCAGTGACAAATATTTCATGCTTGTTCAGGAAAACACGAATTTAGAAGTCAGGTATATAATATAAAAACGAAGAGATGGGATGGGATATGATTGCTAATAAGGCAACTATCCACCGGAGTTCAAATATGAAGTGGATGTAAGCAATTATAGACAATCGTAAGGCCTTCAACAATGACAAAAACCTGATACTGTAAAGTCGTCTATAAAAGGCCCGATATGAAAAGTGTGAACAATTCAAACGAAAAAACTAATGGCCTAATTATACATAACAAAACAATTTACAAAATATCAAATATGAGTCGAGACATGAACCAACGACCACCACTAAATTACAGGCTCCTGACCTGGGACAGGCAAATAAAGAATATGGTAGGGTTGATATAAAAACGAAGATGTGGAATGATTGCAAATGAGACTACTCTCCCCAAGAGACCATATTACACAGAAATCAACAGCTATAAGTCACCGTACGGCCTTCGACAATAAGCAAAGCCTACACCGCATAGTCAGCTATAAAAGGCCCCGAAATCACAAATGTAAAACAATTCAAACGAGAAAACTAACGGCCGAATTAATGTACAAAAAATGAACGAAACACAAATATGTATAACACAGCAACAAACGGCAACTACTGAATTACAGGCTCCTGACTTGGGTCAAGCACATACATACAGAATGTGGCAGGGTTAAACATGTTAGCGGGATCCCAATCCTCCCCCTAACTTGGGACAGTGGTGTAACAGTACAACAACATGTTTGTGAGCACTAAACCCATCCCGAAGCTGGGACAGTGGTGAAACAGTACAATAAAAGAACAACCTGCACTAATCAGTTGCAATTAATCAAAAGATCGGTACGAGACACACAAAAAAAAAACTTACATTAAGACAAAAGACACAAAGCACCGACATTAGAGTATTTTCAATTACTCAGTGGAAGTTTGCTCAAAGCTAATAACAACTAGTACTGAAATAAATCTTGTTCTCCCAGACTGAAGTATCAATCAGTACACAACGCGCGGCAAAGGATTTATTAGAAAAGAAAACAGTCTGAGAAACGTCTGGTTTACGTATACGTTGTATATAGATATAAGAAGATGTGGTATGAGTGCCAATGAGACAACTCTCCATCCAAGTCATAATTTGTAAACCATTATAGGTCAAAGTACGGTTTTCAACACGGAGCCTTGGCTCACACCGAACAGCAAGCTATAAAGGGCCCCCCCAAAAATGACAAGTGTAAAACCATTCACAAACGGGAAAACCAATGGTGCCGTCTAATCTATTAAAAAAAAACGATATACTTGCATATAGATCCATATACAATGAAAGTTTTTGAAAAGTTGTGGTCCGAACGTTTTGACCATCGAAATTTTGCAATAGAAATAATAGTTAGGACCAGAAGATTTTAACAGCCAGTGCAGGACTCGCACGAACGCCAGATTTAGTTTGAGGGGCGATATTCTGACGCGTTTTTTAATTCTTGGTCACCTAATTATGTTTAGAAAGAAAGGGGAGAAATCCAAACAATTACCGACCAATCACAAACGTTGTTGCAAATTTGACCTTATGACGTCAAAGAATTTCCCATAATGCAATTATTGCATATAAATAAAAAACTACTATACCAATAGAATAAAAAATATTGCATTAAAATGACAAGTTATACCAATTGAATAAAAAATATTGCATTTGAATGACAAATTATACCATTTGAATAAAAAATATTGCATTTAAATGAAAAAATATACCATTTAAATAAAAAAATATACCATTCAAATAAAAAAATATTGCATTTAAATGAAGAAATATATCAATTAAATAAAAAATACTGCATTTAAATGAAAAATATCAAATTTTTGCAACCAATAACATGCCATATACAAGTGGATCTTAAAATGCATATCTTATTAAAATCTCATTTTTTGTATGTATTATCTAGGGTAATTCGTCTTCAACCTCTGAAAAAATTTAGCCTGCCCTTCCATGAAATATTCAATTAGAATTTTTTTAATGTTAACTGAACTTTCAAAAATTTACCCTGACAACCGATCAGACAATAGTTTTAAGTTGACAAAAGGCTTCCATTTTCGCGATTGAAAAAAATAGTTGGCTTAATGGGGAGATAATTTTTACGAAGTAGAATCTTGACTGCAAGTGGATATATGTATACAATCAAAATTTCACACGAATAAATGATATTCTAATATAGGGAAAATATCAATGATAAAATAAAGGAAAAAATATAAACATAATTACTAGTAGTCCACCGTAAGATCTTCGAAAAAATAGGGATACCTTTTCATTAAAATTTCACCATAAATCGTTAGCTTAAAGATTTAAATAAAGCACTATATTAATTATGATTTTTTTTTGTGAAAGGAAGAATTATTTTAAGTCTTTGAATGGCTTCTAATCCGATTTGGACATAAGTGATGTTAAAGTACCTTTGTATCATAAGGTTTGAACTGAAATATCTCTGGAGACATGTAACTGGGAGTTCCACACATTGTGACAGCTTTGGAATTACGTCTGTCTAATACTCTAGGATGATAAGGTACTATACATATTAGAGCTATACAAAATCAAATTTGTCCAATATATTTATCTAAATAATAATAACCAGAACTGTCTGCAGAGCAACACAAATACTCCATACGTCTTTCAACTTTAAAATTTGTTAGCCTTAAATAAATATTATAGTAGGCATGTTAATGTAGGTTTCTGTTATAATTTATTTATAAATAAAGAGTAGTATCAAACAGTTATACGTGCAAATGATCTCCACACGTGTCTCTCGTGTGGAGGTCTCAACACGCTTCTTCGTGCCGAGGTGTATGCTGTTATATTTTTATAGTGATTGTTTATATATACTTGAGATAACTTGTATTTTGTGTGCTATTTTATATTCTGGCTTTCGAAAGTTAGTTTCATGAAATTAAAACGCAGCCGATTAGATTAATTTGTTTTACCTGCCAAGTTATCTTAAACATATCTTGTATGGTTTCTGGACGTTGTACTTAATTTGATTTAAGTTGGACCAAGTTCAACAGAAGGATAGACGGACGGACGTACAGATAAGCAAACATACAAATAGACAGATTTACACACACACACCTTTTTTTTGTATATAATAATAATAAGATTAAAATGCAGAAACAACTAGAAAAGGTAAAAATACTACCTTCAACATACTTTATTACATGATCGTTTTCTACATGCAGGCAATGGAATCATAATAATATCATAACACAAAGAGCACTAACCAGAGGCGGATTTAGGGGGGGCAGGGGGGTCGGGCCCCTCTTTTGTGGGAAAAATTTGGTTGCTTATATAGGGAATCACTGAAGCATGACTGGAGCGGGGCCCCTCTTAGGCAATCAATGGGCCCTTCTTATGAAAATTTCTGGATCCGCCACTGCTAACATGCATATATATTACTATATACATATAATTAAGAAGATGTGGTATGATTGCCAATGAGACAACTCTCCACAAGAGACCAAATGACACAGAAATTAACAACTATAAGTCACCGTGCCTTCAATAATGAGCAAAGCCCATACCGCATAGTCAGCTATAAAAGGCCCGGAATCACAAATGTAAAACAATTCAAACGAGAATACTAACGGCATAATTAAGCATAATTTAAGCAATTTCATTAAAAAAATCTAATTCTGCTTTCATATACATGTAGATCAGTTATATAATTTAAGCATAACACCAACGGAGGGGAAATAGAATAAGGTAAATTATATGCACTATATACTATTACGCAGAACAATACCGAGATTTTCACTAAGATTGTGTCGTACATGCTATTGAGAAGACTTGTAATCCTTGAGAACAACATTTTAATAAATATTCAAATTGCATAAAAGGAAATTTTCATACATTTTGACATTTTAAAACAATTTCTATTAGTTTACTAGATAACTAACTTAGCTATTCCCAAATCTCCTAATTTTGCATCTTTCTTGGGTCCAGTCAGGAAAACATTCTGTGTCTTTATATCTCTATGCAATATATTTCTGATATGAAGATACTAAAAATAAAAATACGGTACCAGTTGAGTTTTGTATTTGTAATGTTTTTATACACTCTTGCACTAAAAGATAGTTGTAAATACTATGTTGAATCGAAGCAGTCAACGTGTTTAGATGATCTAAGCAGATTTAATTTTTTTGTCAAGAAAGATTTTTTTGTGTATAAAATCCTAAAGAATGTCATTTGAAACCAAAACAAAATTATCCAGAAATATTCCACAATTTTCAATAGCATGTTCCTATGTTGGTTTCAAACGTGTCAAAGGTTTTGTTTTGCAGAAACAGTTCCTTTAATCAAAACGTTGCTAGTACCACAATGGTAATGTTTTGTTAACTTATTCAAATATTATAATGCATTAATGAATTGACTCTACCCTAACCGATCGTGTTTCATCTCCCTGCGAACGATTTTGAGTTAAAGTTAAAATGAGTTAAATGAATACATTTGTTTATAAAAGTTATATTTTAAAGCTTTTTCGGTATCATTCCTTCAGGATATGTTTTAGCGTAAAAGATTAAAAGTCCATAAGCATGGTAAGTTTAGTTTAAATTAATTTATGTTTTATATAACCAAGTGTTTATTTTAAAGTTACAACATAAAATGATTTATATTCTAAAATGCTATTTGATAGAGAGAGTTGCTTTTTTATTCACACAGTTTTTTAAAAAGTTCTCATTGTGAATGTTGATAAAATTACATTTCAGTTTCGAAAATTTTGACACACGCAAAATATAAAAACATATTTAAGGTAAATTTTTTGTAGCGACACTATATTGTTATCCTTATCGGATTAATACTTGCTTAACTGTACCTTTAAAGCTCTGCATATCTGACCAAACCAATTAACTATCTGGTCTTCAGCCAGAGGTCTTCCTCGTCGCTGTTCCAGTACCTCAGATAAATCTCCACCATCACAATACTCGGTCACTATACACAACGATGCCCTGTCTTTGAACGAGTTAACATAAGCCACAATATGCTCATGTTTTAGTTGCTGTAATAACTTAGCTTCCCGAACTGCTGCGTCTCGTTCTTCCGGAGGTGACTTACTCAAATCAATCACTTTCATGGCATACTGTGAAAAAAGTTTTGCCCAAAGAAACATACTAAAAAATATAATTGTAATCTAGGGGAAAAGACAGTAATATGATCATTTTGTATGTTTGGTATTACACTTAGTTCAGTGGTTGTCGTTGGTTCATTTCTGTCATATTGTTTTTTCGTAAATTGTTTTGTTAGAAATTGGGCCGTTGATTTTCTCGTTTGAATTGTTTCACGTTTTTCATGTCGGGGCCTTAATAGCCGACTATACGGTATGAATGTTTCTCACTGTTGAAGACCTTACGGTTGCCTATAATTACTTATATCCACTATTTGAACTCTGGCGGATAGTTGTCTCATTGGTAATCATACCACATCTCCTTATTTTTTACATATCATATATTATTTGTTCTATAAATAATCGATGCATAGGTATGCAAACTAGTATATATTTATAGATCATAGTATTTGTACCAGGCATTACCCATAAGTAAAACTAAAACCGGACTAAACATATTAAAATTTAAAACTTGTTGTTTTGATTCCTGTTGACTATACTTTATGAAAGGCTGCATAAAGGGGAAAACATATATTAAAGTACATGTTAAACATTCCAAATTTTAAAAAGCGAACACTCAGTTTTTGAACCCAGTAAGATCTCTTTTTGAAAAATGATAGATCAAATCAAGATTCAAACCTTCCATTAGAGACAAGAATCATAGTTTTAAAATGATAATAAATGTGGAATGTGTCCATGGGACACAGATGATGCCCCCACTTACATATCATATAAAGTTATAAAGGGACATAACTGAAGAACGGTAAAAATGACGCTACCCAAATCTGTACTTGATCTGAGTTTTTTTTATAATAAGTATTGTGTATAAGTTTCATAAAATTTGGTTGAGGCAAACTTAAGTTACAGAACGGAAACGAAAAATTCAGCAATTTTTCCATTTGTAAAGGGGCATTACTCTAGAACGGTAAAAGTGACTCCACCAAAATTCAAACTTGATCTGTATTTTGTGGTAATAAGCATTGTGTATAAGTTTCATAACATTTGGTTGAGGCAAACTAAAGTTAGAGAACGAAAACCAACTTTGGGACGTACGTACCTACGTACGGACGGACGGACAAGGGTAAAACTTAATGCCCCCTCCGCTACGGCGGGGGCATAAAAATTGTTTGGGTGAAATTTGTCTATAGCGTAAGTGCGTGGTCTTCATACATACAATCTCTTGCGAAAGTGAAAGTAGAATAAATATAGCAATAATAAATCTTTAACAGTTAAGCATGTGTAATCAATATACGACGACACCATTAATGTCATTATGATTTAATTTACCTTTCGTGATTTATCCGTTCTATCGTGACATAAAAATACTTTTCCGAAAGCGCCTTCTCCTAGAAGCTTCCCAGTTACAAAATCTGTTGGACCTGCTGCGGAAGCCATTTTGATCTATATGTTTGTACAATCCCTTGTGACTATCGACGGTTAAATTTTATTTTTGAAAGACCTTTAAATGGTATTATACAACAATGCTTTTCTTTTCCGAGACTACCCGGAAGTTCTTCAGCATTACCTGTACGAATAATCCAATAATTTACAATCTAAAGTTACCTGTATATTATGTAGTTTAATATATATTCATACACACAGAGTTCATTTATATCTCCTGACAAGATATACTAATTTGTACTGGAGCCAGAAGCACAAACATGTAGTATAATTTGTAACATTCCTTGAAAATAAAAGGTGTACATGTAACTATTAAAGTAGCTTGACTGCACAGTCACATAGATGCCATGGATATTCAGGACGGGAAACAAATTATGATCAATAAATCCAATAGGTAGGTTCTACAAAATGTGTAACCATATTGCAATTTTTTTACTTAAAGAATATGAAACTCTCAACAATACAAGTTAGCTATTTAAAATGAAATTCAAACCAGGTGATAACTTTACATAAATAACCTCAAGGATTAATCAGAATGGTAAAACCCATTCTTTCACACGGAAACCATAAAATATCTTTCAAATAAAGTACAATCTCGATTCTCAATACCATGCATTAGAACGGAATTTTGTGAGTAAAACTAAATTTTACAGGCCAGTTTATGAGCTGTTATTACATGTAGTGGATGTTAACCCTTTCATAATTTGATGAGATCACCAAGATACCATGTGCAATGCCAAAGGTCTAAAACTATTTAGTTTGAATGTCTAATTTATCATCAATTTTCATCCCCTTAGAACACATTGTCAGTGGGTACTTTAATTACAAGGGACTTTTCGAAACCTGTTTTCTTTATATCTGTAATTATATCAGTTTTAACATCAGCAGGAAAATTATCTTTAAGGATTACAGATAAATATAATATCCTTCATTTTAATCGCTGTAACGAGTTAAAGAATAAAAAAATCTAAACATATGATGAACGTCAATAAAAATTCACTACCTTTACGGTCAAGTAGCTTACTGTCAGACTAATTCCAACACTGTCATTTTCATACATATAATTCAACATTGATAGCTTGTAAATTTGACCATAAGGTACTACTTTCATATAGTCATAACAAAGAAAAAGAAATTACAGGATTTCTGGACAGTGAAACAGACCACAACAAGCACCAACAACCGATTTTTCCCAGAAATTTCAATACAAACGACGAACAACACATTGTCCAGATAGCTCGACTTTGTACAGGAAAGACATGTGGTGGGGTCTAGCCACTTTACTTGTGTACAAACCTCCCTCTTTACCTATCTAGACAATATGTACTAAAAGTAAAACGCACAGTAAACATACACTTCACAGTCCATATACATAAGGATGACAACTCACTGGAAGGAAATAAAAGACGGCACAGAATTTGGAAAGGAGAAAATGTGTACTCGATACTACATGAAGCTAGATAAAGGAGCTACATTTATTGGTTGAGCACTGTAGTTGAAGGAAACAAAAACATAAGCAAATGTAAATTACACATAGTCTTTATAAATTTAGCATGTCCACAGAGTTTTTCTGGATTCCCTATCATCAGGAACACTCAAACCTAAACATTTGAAAGCCAGGGATGTATAAAATGTAGAAACATTAGGAGCTATATAATGACCAAAAGGGAGCTAAGAATAATAGCTAAATTCATCTAAGTTACCGTGAAAGTACTTTTATTCGTGGGGTACCAATTTTCGTGGTTTTCGTTAAGTGTCCAACAATATACAATTTTTTGGTACAACTTCACAACTTCAGACTGTACGACTGTTAACATTTTAATTCTCGTGAGAAATAATTTTTGATCGATGAAAGTCAGATTTCCGGTGATGATATGCGATAATGAAATGTTCCTTTTTTTCATAATTCTCATACGAAAAAAAATACTGATTTCCTTTTGGGCTTGCTTTTTTTATTTCATAATAATTAATTCTACAATCTAAAGTACATTTGTAGCATTTTCTTATATGTAACCGTTTTCGTTAAGTGACATGTTTAGGGCCCAATTATTACCTTTGATGATCGTTAATCTGTTGATCATTCGATCTCGAGTTAATAAGTGTCATAACTTCTGATTACACGTGTGCAACAACTAAAATGTTTACTCTGCATTTTCCTCCAATCCAGACAATTTGTGAGCATAGATGAATCAGATTATTTCCAATAGCAATTATTTTATTAAAACTATTATGAATTTTGTTAGTAATGAAAGACGAACAAGTGAGTGAAAATGAACAACTTATTTTACAATGTCCCACAAATCATTATAAAACAACATATGATTAACATCACGAATATTCGTTTCTGAAGTCTACATCTATACTATTGATCTGCAGTGGAAATCCATAACGCAGATACTGCTGTGCAAACGTCAACCTGCGTGCTCAGTATTTACAAGTGCAATTAAAATTGGATGAAAACAGGTGGTTTCTGTTTACAGCTGCAGTCTCCGAAGTTGCTCCTTGAAGCATTCCAGAGATGTAGCTTGGAAGGCTTCAAGAGGCAGGCTGTTCCAGTCGGTGATGGTGCGTGATATATAGCTGTATTTGTAGTCATCTGAGGAGGAACTGATCTGAGTAAATTTTTCTGGATGTATTGTCTTGTTGAGGTAGATGGTCTTATCACGTATGATGGTATGTTGACTGACGCCTTTCCATGTGTGGCTTTGTAAAACAAAGTTAGTCTTCAAATTCGTCACTCGATATTTTTTCTTCAGAAAACTAAAATCCACGAATTTAAGAACCCACGAACATGTATCTTTTGCTGAACCACGAAAATTGATACCCACGAATAACAGTACTTTCACAGTAAAAAATAATCCTAAGGGAGTTGGAACATTAGTTTCTTAATCATTTCTTAATTTACCAACGGGGAATTTTGAAATAAATGTTAGAAATCATGTAAGTGCCGAAGCACTAACTACTGAGCCGATCATACCCTCGGGACTAACATTCCACCATCGGAGGTATCGACAAAGTGCTAGTAAATCAAAATTGCATTTAATAAATTTCGAGCGTTCGAAGATCTTTTCTGGATTTACCTTCACCAGTAATCTACATCTACAGGATACAAAGCACTGCCACAGTCTTCTTAGACCCATATGTTTCGGAAATATCTTTGCGCAGCGTGGGCAGTTAGAAGTTAAAAGTATTGAACTGATAAGAATAAGATAACAGCACTAGGATGAAGGAAAGACAGTGAAACAAGGATCTTTTTGTTGTGGGGATGTAAGTACCCTGCCATGTCCACTCTGTGTTTTTCTTACTTGTGTTTTTGCTTTGTATCTATCTGATGAGATAAGCCCTTTTCAACTGATTTTTATAGTTTGTTCATATGTTGTACTGTTACACCACTGTCCCAGGTTAGGGAAGGGTTGGGCGCCCGCTAACAAGTTTAACACTGCCACATTCTGTATGTGCCTGTCCCAAGTCAGGAGCCTGTAATTCAGTGGTTGTCGTTTTTTGGTGTAAATCATATTTGTTTTTCGTTCATTATTTTGTACATAAATCAGGCCGTTAGTTTTCTCTTTTGAATTGTTTTACATTTGTCATTTCGGGGCCTTTTATAGCTGACTATGCGGTTTGGGCTTTGCTCATTGTTGAAGGCCGTACGGTGACCTAAAGTTGTTAATTTCTGTCATTTGGTCTCTTGTGGACAGTTGTCTCATTGGCAATCATACCACATCTTCTTATTTTTATATTTCAAATTGCGTTTCGGTTCTTCAAATTAGACCAATCCGGCAACCGTAGCGGCCCCTGGGCATTCACCCAACCGGCACACATCTAATCATCATTAGAACTTGCTTACACTTTCACCCCTAATAAGTTAAAAGTAGGTGTTTATAGTCCCTGCTTTATAGATACCAAGTCAGGGGTCTCAGCTTCTGGTGCTGGTAACTGGTTCTAAGTTCTTATAGTTCGAAGAAAGAAATTGTATTTGAGTACATCTGTTCTGGTGTGGTACTGTTGCATCTTCTTCGAGTGGTTAGATTTTGCTCTGGTAACCGACGTAGTGAGATAAGTTGAGGATGGGATATCCATTAGGTCATTTATGATCTTAAAGAGCATGGTTAGCTGAATTTTTGTCCTTATTTCCTCAAGTGTCTTTCAATGTAGGTTTTCTAGGATATATGTAATGCTACGGTGTATTTGTATCTATTTGTTGCATATCTGGAGCTCGACGTTGGACATTTCTAGTTTGTGTGTAGGTTGTTTATTATGCGGAATCCATATAGATGTCCAGTATTCCAATTTTGACCGGACTTGTGTGAAGTATGCTGCAGGTTTGGTCTCTTTGTTGTTTATCCCGAGGTTTCTTTTCAGAAAACCAAGCATACTACATGTATTTGCTTTCTTAACAGTACGGTCAATGTGGTGGTTCCATGACAGATTATGACTTCAAACAACTCCTATGTATTTGGTTATTTCTACTACTTCCAGTTGGTCACCTTTCAGGTGGTATTGACAAAGAATGGGTTTGTTAGATTTTCCCACTCGCAGTACATTACATTCATCTGGGTGGAATGAAATACCCCATTTATCTTCATAAGTGGCGAATAAGGTCTTTTTTATCCATCTAAAATTACTTGCTGAGATCTGTCTATGAGAAAGGCTCTGATCCACTGGAGTGTTTGTCCTCCAATTCTCTAGAAATTTAGTTTCGATAAAAGTCGCTGGTGCGGAACACTATCGAATACCTTGTAGAAATGATTAGGTTTTGTTGAATTTCGCTATCCATTGATGTAGCTAGTTCATGAGCAAGTGTTGATAAATAAATGAGTTTCACAGCTTATCCTAGCTCTAAATCTATGTTGGTTGTCAGTAAGTATGATGCACTTTTCTAGATGTTTCATTATGTTGCTTCTTAGGATATGTTTTTGTAACTTGCACCATATATATGTCAATGAAACTGGGGGGTAGATACTAGTCTTGAATCTGTCATTTTTTCAAATATAGCTGTTACATTCGCATACTTCAAGATCTGTC